AGGACGGCCACGCAGGCGAGGCGGCATGTGCCGACGGGCCTCAGCAAACCAGCTGCCAGGCCGGCACCACCATCCCCAGCCGGTGCTACGGGGCCAGGACGCCATCTTCTCTGGAAGAAGAGCAAAAAGCAAAAACCAATATCCCATGCAGGGGGCTGGCTTTGCTCCCTGGGCCAGGCTCAGGTGCATGGCTGCTGTGCGTGCCCCTCAGGCCGCACCGACACGGGGGACGGTTTGGGGTCGGGATGAGCTTTAGCAAGTGTGGGGACTAAAAGCACCTTCAGCCCAGGACAGGGCAATCGCCGGCTGTATTTGGGGACAGAGCCGGGGCTCGGTCACGTTGAGTCCTGCTGGCTGACCCCGCAGGAGTGCTGGGATGGAGACGGCCAGGGACCGAGGTCTGCCTTGCCTTCGCTCGGGCAATGGTTCTGGCCACAGCTGAGGATTAAGCAAGGGTGAAGACTGACCCTCCTTCGGTGGAGGAGGAACAAATCCAAAGGGGTTGGAGCTATGAGTATGGCAGGGAAAACAAAAAACAAAACAAAAGCCACACTGTGCCTGCCAGCATTGAACACAGCCCCTTAACTCACAGTGAAGTCTCCAGTGTCTTCATGCCTTGAGATTGAGTGCAGAAACCATCTTTTTAAATAACTATTTGAGTTACTGATTGGTGTGAATTTTTTTGGGGGGGGAAAAAAGCACAAGTAGCCCAGTTCAAACATAGTAGGGATTAGTGTAAATCCCAATGTCTCTTCAGCTATACACTGGAATGCATTATACTACTTTAACGTGCTGTATTTTTTATTATTGGATACATTTGATTTTTCAAGTACATCTCTCTATATAAATATATAAAATAATGTGCACTGTAATAAAAGCTAAATTTAAACCTTTGCTGCAGCAGTGAGAGTCACTTGTGGCAGGGAGACCAGCTGGAGCCCCTACACCCAAAACAGAAATTCCTCTGCACTCACACGTACCAGTTAATGGTTGAGCCTTCATGTCTTAAAGGCCTTTTCCAACCAAAGTGATTCTGTGATTCTATGAAATACCCAATATGCCCAAAACATTGCTCATGCTGGGGAAAGCACTTAGAGCAGCCTGGTGGGAGACTGGTATTTTTGCCCCAGCAGCACAGGAATCTTCATCAGTTATTAAAAAAAAGAAAGGTTGGTCAGCTCTTTCCTTGCTGGGAGCAAGGAAGGTGTTTGGGCACTCATACAGCCAAGGATGCATTTGTGAACAGGTCTCTTAGAAAAATATGTTGCTTTATTTACTTCCACGTACAACTTCACAAAGAGCTGCCTGGGTGATACCTGCAAACCCTGAGATAGCAGCAGAGGTTGAAATCCAGAGAAAGGGCGAAGTCCTACTGTTGGGTTGGTGATAAGTAACCCTGGGGCCACGTGAAGATCATTCAAGTCAATGCCAAACACAGATACTAGCATTTGGACTAAAGTCAGGCTTTTTTCCCAAAATTTGAATAACATTTTAGACAAGGTTACCCGTCCTCACCTCCTTTCAAGTTAGTTTTAATTGCAGGAGCTTTTCCCATGCAACCCAGTTCCCTAACCCTCGGATGCGCTCACACCCGGTCCCCAAGCACCTTTGAAAAAATCACAGGTTATTTCTATGGAGAAAAATAATTTATTTTTTTGTGTACCCGTGGTGTGGTCCTTCAACATAGATCATTACAGCAGTAAGGCGTGATGACAGCATATGGGTTGACCCATGCTCCACGGGGCAGAGCCGAAGGCGTTGGAGGTTTCAGAGCAGACGGTGCTGTGAAGCCTGTCGGCAGGGGCAGAGGCTGGGCAGCGTTTGCTTTCTAGAAGGGACATTAGCTCTGAAGCTTTGCAAGCAGAGGAGCGCCAGCATCCACGTCCCGTCAGAAGTAAGCACAGAGCTGGTGAGGTACTCGGTCACCGACCACGCCATGCAACTCCCTCCCCTCCACCGAGGGCGAGCAGTGGTTTTGGGAGAGCCACGGCCCCGCTCACCAGGCGCCGAGCAGCTGGAAGGGCCGTGCCAGCGCTGCCGTCCATGCGGAGGAGCGGGGCAGCAGGAAGTGTGCCAGGACCCCGCCCCATCACCAGCCATAGCAGCTGGGCGCTGGCGTACATCGGCCCCAATCTGCGTGGGGAGAAAACACCGTCAGCCGACCCAGGGCACGAAGCATGCTGGCGGGGGCTTGGCGTCCCCTGTCCTCCTCCAAGACTGTGCTGGGGAAGAGCTGGTGGGGCCACGAGGGGAGGACAAGGAGATGAGGCAAACCTGCCATCAGTCCCACGAAACCTGCCCCAGGGGACACATCCTGCACTCAGCCTCCCTGGGTTGGTTTGGGGGTGCCCACAGCCCCAGCTGGGTACTAACCGTCCCTGCGCAGCCACGGTGTATCCCTGGAAGTACTTGAAGCGGGTGTAGAGGTACAGCAGCCCGCATGCCGCGGCCACACCTGCAGAGGATAGGGGAGCTGAGTCCTAGCTGAGTCCTGATGCTGCCGGGGGTCCCCGGATGCTGCCCAGCTCAGCCACCCATGCCCCCACTTCCCCCTGCAGATGGGGCACGGCCACGAGAACCGAACGCAGAAGGACTCGGCTTTAAAACGCTTTGGGAAGTCAAATGGGTTTTCTTCCTTCCTTTTTTGTGGGCGATGAACTTCTCTGTCCCCCAAAGTTGCCCTGGGACTTGGGTTTGCAAAGCTTCCTTCCATAATCCTTCCTCACATCTTCCCCGCGGTGGCAGCCGAATCCCCTGAACCCACTTGGTACAGGATGGACGGTGGATGATGGATTGTTCGGGTTATGGTTTCTTGTTCTGACCTAGCGATTTGGGTACCGCACTGCAGCTCTGCTTCAGCTTGCTGCTGCCCTGGCACCTCACGCCAGCCTGACCTCATCTAAGAGAAGCAGCGCTGGCGAACAGCCGGGCTCCGGTGAAGGAGTGAGGGCTGTCAATGCCACCAAACCTCTCCTCTGGGGAGGAGACCAGCTCGGCTGCTACCAGCAGCTTCACGCAGGCTGGAGTTGGGGGGCTCCTCGGCCCGTCCAGCCACAGGGGAACGTTGCTTTCCTCGAGTAACAGCCTCACGGGTATAGAGAGGATGTGCTTGAATCGCAACTAGATTTAAATTGGGGTTTTTTTTGTTTGTCCTCGTGGTTTGGGTTGGAGTTTCCCCCCATGTCCCTTACCTTGATGAAAGAAGATTCCAGCAACCCAGAGGAGCGAGATGAAGATCGGGAAGTACTCTGAGCAATTCGCCCTGGTGAGAACCAGAGATGAGCGTTAAAACCGCATCCTCGTACATCAGAAACCGGTTAACTGAGACCAGAGAGGTGAGCTGGAAATGCACGTTGGAGCAAACTGAAAGGGCCGATAGGAGATGTTGGTGTGCTGTGCTGGGGAGAAAGGGCCTTCTCTGCGACGAAGGACACCCAATATCTCTACATTAGAGAAGAAAAGCACCCAAACAACACAGCATTCACCTCACCCACGTTCATGTGGACCCTGCAACGATAAGCTGTGGCCAAGATGGAGATTTGTCTCTGCTGGACCATCAACAGGCTCCGTCCTTGGCCCCACGCGCGGTGCCTTCACAGACATCTAGTGCAGCTACAGCTTAAAAGCTGCACGGGAAGAGGTTCCTTGTCATTATTTAAGGAGCATTCTCTTCCCTTTGGGTGAGCACAGCCCAAATCTGGGTGTCACACAAGTCATGCTCCAAGAAGGAGCCTTCTCCCAGATCAAATTCAGCAGAAGATGATCAGATCTGCAGCCAGGTTTTCCTCCTTTTTTCTTTTACTGACAAAAATACAGATGTTCTGCAAGAAAGGATGGTGGGAGCCGTGCTATTAAAGACAATGGTTTTATTTCTCAATTTCTCCTATATTTTACCATTCCCCAGGCAATTTAATCTTGAAATTGGCCAAAAATTTACCAAGCCTCAGGGAACGGAGCCAGACCGGGAGCTGGAAAAAAAGTCTGAAGAACCTTTGCTGCAAATGCAGTTTGAGCCTCAGCAAGGGAAGGCTGCCAGGTTTCCACGAGTAATAAATCAATACCCTCCCCCCCGCCCTTTTTTTTTTAATGTATCAAACCAATTTTTCCCTGTGGAAAAGGATACAAATGGATAAGAATAAAGGGAGGAAAAAGCCCACAATAAAGAAATACCTTCTCAAACCCAAGTTCCCTGAGGTCGCCTCCTCTGCAGAATATAGCCGAGGGTTTCCCAGCACGCCGCAGCCCACAGCACAACGCAGTTAACGCACAGCCCAGGATTTAATTAAAAGCCTCAGCAGCAGCTGCCCAGCTACCAAAGGCTGATGCCTCCCATGCAGGCTGGCCTTCCACTGCATCGCAAAAGGACTGAAGCGGGTGGTTTTGTCACTCCACAAATGTTTCCTGCACGCTGGCAAGGAAACGCAGCTGCTTTGTTCAGGATTTAGCGCTGTGTTCAAACTACCCTTCAAACCAGCCCTGGCCAATTCCTTTCAATCGCTTACGAAACAACGCGGCTGAGATGAAAGACGGAATCTGGTGCTTGCTGGAAGCTGAAGGGATCCGTGAGCATTTCCAGTTTAGCTACAGCGTTGCTCTCTCCATAGGAACAGAGCAAAAAGAAACAGCCCTCGGCATGGGCCCATGAGTACCAACTTTGAGAGTACAATAGCTTAAAAAAAAAAAAAAGAAAAAAATTAAAACCTCCTCATAGCTGGTTCTGCCAGCAAGGCCCTTTGCTTCCATTCAACAGCAAAAACTTACAGGCAAATATTAGGTTATTAACATAGCTTCAGCTACTCTTGCAATTTGGAGCCAACATTAATATTAAATTTAATGGTGATAATGCATTAATGCTCAGCACCTCTTCCATACAGCCACTAATTTGTAATTTGGCTGCCTCTCACGATGCTAGAAGGAGGATTATCGTGGATGGACAGAAACACTCCAGCCAGAGCAAAATGCTCCAAATCAGACCTCTGCATGCAAAGCATTAAAAAACCCGATCTAGTATCAGTAGCAATAAGTGAAAAGGTGACTTGAGGGTGACTTCAGTCTTTCCTGGTAGTGATACTTAACTCATATCTAGATGGAGTCACCACAAAAAGTCAAAGTCTTACTGAGCTCGGAAGATCCGCTCAAATTCAGGGTGACCTGCTGTCTCAGGAGGGGAGATCTTGTACTTCCGCCGGGCATAGATCACCTGCAGCGCAAAATAGGCTAAAAGAAGAACACAGGAACAGTAACAGTGCAGCAGTGTTTTATTTAGCCAAGCTTTATCTAGCTTGGAATCAAGCAAGTGGTTAGAGGAAAAGAGCTGATGCTGCCTGGGTTCATAGTCCAGGGCTGTCACACACGACCGAGAATAAATGTGCCATTTATTTCATGCCTGTATTTTAAATTCAGATTTGGTTATCCCAGCAGAGCACGCGCGCCGCAGACTTTGCATAGTCTCATGCCCAGCGCAGCAGCGGAGCCCTCGGTGCTGCTCCCCAGCTGATGAAACGCGCGCTGGTCCTGCAGGAAGGCGAGCACCGAGTCCACACCCCATCGCAGAATTATTATTCTTTTTTTTTTTGTCTTATGGTTCGGATTTAGAGTATTATCACACCCTCAGCCAGTCTGACGGGAACGATGTAGAACACCTCCCGCTATACCCAGCGGGCACAAAGCTTTTGTGCGAGGATGGCGCCATGTCACCGAGCAGCATCCAAACTGTGAAGCACTGGGATATCATGGTTAAGTGAACCAGAGATGCTGGTAATCGTGGCAATAGAAGGAAGTGGGGAAGGGGGTGATTATTTCTTCCATTTCATTCCCGCAGGGTAGCCCCAAGGCTCGAGCAGAGCAGTTCAAGGAGCAGACGTGCTGCCAGTGACTATCAGCCTGTGCTAAGTTTGGGCCCGGGTACTACCTTGGGGTCTGCTACATCGCTGCTCTGTACGTTGGTGAGGGACACGGAAAGTCACTTCAAAACGATGAAAACTTGGACTGTTTCACTATTTGATGAACATTCTTACTCCCACGGATGACTGCTGGTCTTTCAAGTGTTTAGATGTAGGTGCACCACTACATTGCTGCCTTTATTGGAAATTAAAGTTTTCATATAGGAGAAAACTAAGTTAGATAAACAATTATTTTGGTGGCTGTGGCAGCGTGCTGCTAAGCGAGTCCCTCAGATTAGCAAGGTCCTAACGTACCAACGTTTCCAGAGCATTAAACAGAGAGAGAAGGAGCCAGGCTGCAAGGACTGCTTTGTGGACTGTATCATTCTAACAAATGAGATAAAAGCAGAACAGCAGGAGAAGGGAAAGTAGGGACAGATGTTGCAGGATTAAAGACAAGATAGATCCATGCGTGCCTGCAGAAAAGCATTAGAACATACGTAGAAGAAAAGGGAATTAGGAATGTAAATAATCTGATGCTGTGTGACCTGTGCATTACACAACATATTATCCATTTAAATACACATAGACATTCATTTAGGAAAACATCTGCGTGTTCTAGTGTCTTCCACAGTGTGCGCAGTGATCCAGCCCTAAACAAGAGATGCTGGGAGAGAGAAGTGGAGAGGAACAAGTTTTCTTTTTCCCCCCAAATTCATGTGTAGCACATTGATTGCGGTCGTCCTGCCCCTGAGATCCGGCAGGATGCAACACAGCGTCCCCTCCGTGAAACCAGAGAGCTGGGGCTGCAGTAACGCACAACCAGCAATTCAGCGGCTGGGAAAAAGATGATGAAAGCGGGACCCATCCTGGTATCTCCTCTTCACGTCAGATACACACATCTCTTCTACACAACTACTTAATACCCTCAGGGTCTCATCCCAGCCACCGCTCAAGACATGGACGGAGCTGAGGTTACTGCATGCTGTGCAGCTCGGGATCATGGCATAAGCCTGACCGTGCCAGGCAACGGTCTTCACCCTGCTTCGTGCCATCTGCACCCTTCCTGCCGTAGCATTCTTGAGGCTGATGGGTACCGCAAGAATAATTTCAGACCCAGCCTCTCCATCAACGCTATGCTTACTGTCTTGCTTGTATACAAGGGCAAATATTCAGACAAGTCCTGCAACAGATCCTTTACATTTAAGGATGGATAATAAATAAAACAACCGCCCAAGAGGAGCAAGAGCCTTGTGGAGGACGGCTAGCTGTCCTCCAAACCTGGTGTACAGGTGAAGCATTAAGGATGGAGAATCACTTTCCAAAAGCACTTCTCTGAATGTGTTAAAAAACTGCATAAGCCTTCTCAGCATGGGCTTTTAGGGAAAAGAGTTCAATCTACTCTGCAGAACCTCTCAAATTAGTTTTTTGTGATTCATGTCTCGAGGTTAAGTGGCTGTGTGGATTCCCACACGGTCCGTAGGGGCTGAGCTCTCCCTGCACTTTGCTCCTCGGTGGAAGTACCAGCCAGACCTTCATTCTCTATTTGGTTATGTCCACAAACTTGTGAAACCATATTGTAGCTGATATCTGCCACACTTGAGTGAACCTGGCAAACAAGCTCTGTGGAGACTGACGGTGCCATCGCATAAGCTTTATTTCCTTTTAAGCCATTAAAAGGGTGGTGGTGGTGGGGAATAACTATGGTAGCATTGTTCTGCTCTCTGGTACAGCATCCAGCACAGGGCTGGGGCACGTATCTGCAGAGCACTAAGCTCTGAGCTTTACCAAACTGAGTGTAACTAAATTTGAAAGGGGAAAGTTACTTGAAAGAATACGGAAACTGTGGGCTTCCAGAAAATTAAGAAAATAAAAATCAACCAACACTGTACTAAGCTCAGCCATTACATTACGTCTCCTACATCAGGATGTGATGGAAGAGTATTTGTACGTACAGCGCGCATCCATGTTTCAGTGCTGCCTTCTCAGAACGAATCTTAGATCTGTAACTCGCCTGCAGAACGTCCTTTCAAAATATGCAAGAAAAGCTACTGCACAGCTCTGGATCAAGGTGACATTAGCACATATATTTCCTACTAGTAGAAAGGAAACGCTCCTTGCCTTTCCATGCAGAGACCACAAAATGAGACTACTTTGCCTGATGTAACGTAGATAAGAGGGTGCCAATGCTTGCTATGTATCGGCTGGCTTCACACCTACGTAGGGCTTGCATAGCGTAAAATGCCTAAGGCTGCAACTTTAAAAAAAACCAAACCAACCTTTAAGTTCTCATAAAAATATATATTTAAGACAAAACAGCTAAGGATGTACTACTGAGGGTTTCCCAATGGAGGGGCTTAGCAATGTTTCCATAACTCAAGTTTTCTTCATGTCTTCTCTTTGCACACTAAATGCTCCCTCCATCCCCACTTAGTTTAATTTAAAAAAAAATAAAATCATAAGATAAAAGTATCTTCCATTGGTAGTTGCAGATATTTCTCTGTAAATTGTTTGAGGGGAAATTACTGATAATCCAGAAATCTTGAACTCTTCTTCAAGTAGCATATTTGTGGATTAAATAATGCTTATATTAAAAGATTTATCATCTGATGGCTAAAAATACATCAAGCTGCTCAGGGTGTCACATCCACTTGTAAGCAGAGCTGTGATAGCTCTATGGTGAATTAAGAAAAAAAAAACCAAAACCACCAAACAACAAAAACCCACAAACCAACCCTCCCTTACAGAAATATGAAGATTTTAATAAAATGGAGGCTGTCCCCACCCCGGGCAGGGGGAGCATCGCCTTCCACCACCCTCCTGAAGCCCAAGGGGGGAGAAGCCTTTGCCCAAAGGACCCACAGCGAAACCCAAGAGGCAGACAGCTCGGCAGCGCTACTGCTTTCTGAACGGTCTAAACCAAACCCATCTTTTTAAATTACAAGAAGTTGCCAAGTTTCTCTGAAGATGTGTCTATTTCTGACCAGCAGGACTTGCATTAGTTTCCAAATTACTGTGTGCTATCAACTCATTTTGTCACCTCCTCTGTGCAGCAAAGCTTTAGGAATCAAACGCATAACAACATTGGTCACAGAGGAGATACGCACGTATGTGATGCTCTTTTCCATATACATACAATATATGTTTGTAGACTGACCTCTTCGTCAGCCTATTTATTAACCTGCCTTTATTCTGGCTACCTCCAGCCACTCCAAGTTACAAATTATCTGCTAAAATTTCAACCCAGAAAATGTTTTAAAGACATTTGATTGTTAAAATTGTTTTAAGTTTCAAAGTAAAACTTAAATTTCATTTCCTTCTAGGATGCTGGCTTTGAGGTTTGCGAATCACTTTAGTCCCTATTAAATAATGAACCTCCTCAGATACGACACTTCCACTGTGAACAGCCAAACATCATTTTATCACGTTGGAAAACAGCAACTTTCATTCCATGGAGACTCCAAGCAAAATACAGGAACCAAGTTCCACAAAGTTCAATATAATTAGCTAAATACTACCTAGCATTACAGAAAGGACATTTACCTTGCTCCAGGACTCCCAAAACCGTGACAGTGGCCAGCAGGTCTATCTGATTTCTCATGCTGCTGAGTGGGCACCAAAACCCTAGCCAGGTGCGATGAGGACGGCTGCTCTCCAGCCCTCTCCCACCCTCCCACTACCGCACGCTCTTCACCAGAGACTTCTTACCGCTCTGCAGCAACACGTGTTTCCTCCACCACACATTAACTCTCCCCACGCCACACAGTTTTCCAAAGCAGCCAGCCATCAGAAAATGTCCAATCTAGACAAATGCCTTTTGCTGAACTACGTAACAGCAAAAGTTTTGCATGTGCAAACTGAAATTCTTGCAATTCTATTTACAGATTTTCTACCATGATTGAATTATATATTGCCAGCAACTGAAAGATGATAGGATTTTTTTCCAGCCCTTTTATTGCTAGTTTTTATCAGCTGTAAAGCATCTAAGTTATGTGTGAGGTTGTAAAAAGTTATTAACAAGCATTAACAAATTAATTACTTGACCTTCTGCTCTTATTCCGAGTAGTGGAGTTGACCACGTGAAAGATTTTTCTAGGCTTCAGCTGGAAAAACTTACTTCTGAATTTTTGAAGAGCATTCAGGTATTTTTTCCTATTAATTAATACTGTAAGTTTACCAAACAAGAGTACAGTCCTTTTCTAGCGCTTCGTCACTTTTTGTAGTTTTCTGGGTTTTTTTAAATTCTGCAGTACAACCCTTTTTCTGGCTAACATACAAATTAAAAGTTCTCAGTTCTGAAAGGAAGGCAGCATAGGACATAGAAACATGCAAACCCTCAGAAACTTTACACTGACATCAGAATTATAACTCTGAAATGTGAAGTATGAAAACCAGCAATATTTTAGCCCTGAATAACTTTTCTCCCCAGTCCACAAAAGCAAAATATGCATCAGTTCAGAAAGTTATAAAGTTGCTCCAAAACACAGGATATGGATAAAAGACTACTGACTTTAAAGATTTTAAAATCAAAAAGGAGGAAAAAAAAAGTATAATTCATTATCAACTAAGGTTTTCCCTCAATTTTGATGAAGAGAAGGATCAGGAGATGGTTGAGCCCTGGCATCTCTCCCCGTGGAGTCACACACAAAGCCTCAGCACAGAATTTGGGCACACCACCACCACCAAGAAGTGACCAGACCTACAGTTTCGCCTGAGCGGAAGCAGCAAGTTTCTTCTGGTTTCGCTCTTCATTGCCTCAAAATCCCATTGTGACAGCTTCTCAAGTTGAAAACTTAAGTTAATTCAAATACACTATTCAAAAACAGATGCATGTAGAAAACCACAACCACCCCCTTTCTCTGCAGAACACCCATATGATGTGACTTTAGACCCTCCAAGCTGCTAGCAGACCCAGATTGAAATAGAAATAAACCAATTAACCTTAACAGAATCTAGCAGCGATCCGAGATTTCGTCTGGGGCATCTAACATACAAGTCAGAGGGGGAAATGTCACCGGGAGTCTACTTCTGCTTATACCATTTAGAAAACAGTTCCCTTACAGATTTACGTTAGCCTTGGGAAAAACACTAGCATCAAGAAAAAAAATAAATCCATTTCTGAGCAGAGGTTGGCCACAAGCTGCCACTCCTTAAAATCTTTGGAAAAACATGCACGTGCACATCACTTCAATGAGAGACAGTCTGAGAAATTTCTGGTTTACTTGACATTAAATACAATGCAGCACTTTTAAGGGGGTGATAAAGCAAAAGTTAATGAAGTACTAACTTCACAGTTCCCCACAGGCTACAAACAGCTCATCCTGGTATTGTTACTCATTATTACATTTGGTTCTTTATAAGCTGCTGATGTTACGGGTCCCCTCCTCCCCAAAAACACAACTCAAGACTTGTAGAGTAGGAATATACTCAAAATACACTCAGGTAAGTCAGGATGCACTTTGGAAGGAAATCTGCAGGCTCCGAGCTGGGGCCTTAAAACACAACAGCTATCTAAGAAGACACCAACTTCAGAGCTTGGAGAACAATCTTTCAATGTTTGAAGCTGATTAAAATCCTTATTACACAGGGGGATGCTTGAAATTACAGTAACATCCAAGATGAATAGAGTCTTAGCAAGAAATGCATGTGTCATACTTTGCAATTTCTTCTTTATCACTACTGCTAAATCTGTGGTTGAGGAGATTTGAGATGTTAGTTTAGAACTGAAGACTAGATATCATCAGTTAAAAGGCACACTCGACAAACAGGAAATCCTACATAAATAACTGAATTCCTGAGTCTGCTGCAAGTGGTATGATTCACTAAGAGAACTGCTGTGAAACATTCGATTTGGAGTAATTCGTCAAGTAACAACTCGTTAACAAGAACATATTAACATCCAAACACACACCACCAGGCTCCGTTGGGCATGGACAGAGCCACAGAGCATTGCTTTACTTCTAACCAACACACACGTAGGTGTCCGCTGTAAGACGACCTGCCGGGTCTGAATCACCCATTTTGCCGTTATTTCCCACAGGCTCTTCATCCAGCCAGCTCCATGGGGCCACTTAGTGACCTTACCAGTGTTAAGCCAAAATCTTCACACAACTCGTTGCCAGCGTTTTGTTCCTTGTTCAGAAATACTAACTCATGCTTGCAGTACGTGTTCCTCATTTCCCAGTTTGGGGCTTTTTGTGCAATCTGCCTACATCAAACAAACATGATCTTTGTCTTTTTACAAGTCTGAAGGAAACCAATTTGAATCTCTAAGACCTGTTATTTTGAGAAAATTTGAGCATATTTTTAGAACTCTACAATTTTGCACACGTGAGCAGTTATTAACATCTTTTTCACTAACAACTCTGCAGTTGTATTTCCTAGCTGAAGGCCTACAACTGCATTAAAAAAAAATAAAGTCCAGAAAAGTGGGTGTACCGTAAAGCCTTGTTTTCAAAGGAAAGTTTTCTAAGGCCTCTTTATGCAATTCTGGCCTATTTATATGGACTTTCTGAAACCATAAGACTTGGTAAGACACAGCAGAAGAATTTGAGCCTTAGTAGCAGGCCGACCAAAATCGTGTGCTGGGATGAAGGGAACCATCTCACTAGGAACAACAACACTGAACACTCTGCTCAGCTCACACAAATGTATAAAGTCACTCCATGTATGTTTAATACACTAGCAAAATATTTATTTTATAATGATAAAACAGAAGTGAAGGATTTCTTTTTGGTGTGCACCAGTAATTGTAGTAAAAGAATAAGGGGATTAATGGACTCTTTATACATTTCAATGACAAAAATTCATAAAGGTTAGCATCAAATTCAACTGTTCTCCATTTACAAGCATAAAACTTACCATAATACCCCCCAAACACATATATAAAGAATTATAGTTTTAAAATCTATAAAAAGTAAAAAATATACAGTCAGAAGATCTAACTCTTATTCAAATCTTTAATATAAAATTGTAAACATTTATTTACACAAAGGAAATGTGTATAACAAAATTTTGAGCACCCTTTTCAATTGAATCGTGGTTTTTGGAAGGCAGTGGATGTTGCACAGTGACGCTCTCACCTTTCCTACCCAACCAAAACCGCAGTTTATAAATAAAGCCATGGGCGGCTGGCTAGGTACAGTTCAGGGGAGATACATTTTATTGCTCTGAAGCTGCAGCAAATGGAAAGCCCAAGTGCATATATAGACAGCTACACGTTAAAGGGCATAAAGGCAAAGCCCAGCCCTACCCATGCACCTATGTACATCTAAACCATATTTTCATTTCCATTGAACTGTTTCAACTTTGTTACAGTGATACCAAATTTTCAACAGTCTGATCACATTATGTGGACAGGGACCAAAACCAGAAGCGAGAGCTGTTTTTCTTACCAGGTTAAATGCTGTTTGGATCCTGTTCACATATGAAGACCGATGGGCATTATAAGCCAGTTTGCCTCGAATCACGCTTAATTTTAGTTCAACAGTACCATGAAAAGCCCGTCATCAAATCTAGATACCTTCCTGAACAAGCCCTCTGGTCAAGCAGGGCAATATCCACCTTCTCTTCCAGAAACAGTGGAGGAAAGAGTACATCTGCATTTTCCTGGACACTTAGCTGGATTGCCTTTTTGGTAGTAATAATGCAAACAGCAGACGTTCTCTTCTCCAATTAAGAAATCACAACTGGATGGATTGTATTTTGACTTATTCAGAAGAAAGTCTGTGTGCAAAATCTACTGGAAAAACACAGCAGATTTCACCACAACCTACACAGGGAAGAAAGAAAAGCTGAATCCTACTACCCTGTTATTTCTCTCAAGTGTTTGTAAGGGGGAGAAAAAACTAGTGACATTGAAGGATGTCACTTGAAATTATGAGGTCCCAAGCACCCCCAACAGGAAGGGAAGGCACAATGGTGCAAAGTTAACCCATAAAAATAAAAAGACAGCAAACACTCCTTCCTCTGCCACTGCTAGTTTATATCTATACTCTTCTAATGACACTTACCTTGGACCAGTTTTTGGTTTAACTTAATAGTAAACCAAAATCACTAGCTCTTTTCTTAGATTGCCAGTATAAGAAAAGTTAGCATCAGTTATTTGCATCTCAACTACTTATCCTAGAAAATATCAGAAGTGTCAGCAACCAAAGTCACTAACACCTTCATCTTCCCATCCAAAGATGATCTTTATGTTATCTTTTCAAAAGCTCTATGAGGGATTAAGTCTGCTTCAGTGAAGTTTTATCCACTATTCAACGGTGGGATCCACTGATCAATGCACATCTTTCACCAACAGTTCAACATGATACAATATCAAATCTGTTCACAGAGCGTAATTCATCCACACTAGGTAAGTGTGCTGGACAAACCATGTTCCATGCATATTTGGAAAGGGTTAAAGTATTAGTGTTAAAAAGCAGTTTTTAAAAGTGCAAATTGTCTCATAAAGGAGCTGCAGATACAGTAAAATCTTTTCCTTCTTTGAAATCAATGTTATCCTTCACTTCCCTTCACCCACTCTGGAAAAAAAACTCTCTCTCACGCATCTCTGCAGTGCAGAAGACTCCCGAAGAAGCCAGTCTGTGTTGAAGAAAA